TTCTGCTTACTGTCCTGTAACCTTGAGACAGCGTGTGAAGAAATCCCCATTTCAGACATTGAGCCCACCTATTTTGTTGTTCTGCTCCATCTATCTCCCTCCTCCTTGCCAGTCCTTTCCTGCATTGTTTCTCCATGCATTATTTGGTGTAATCCTTCAGGGAGGCAAGGTCAGGATTGGAAGAAAGAGGGGCAGGCAATAAGAAGCAAACATTCCAGTTCTTTCCATTCCATTCCAACCCCTATGGAATAATGCATCATAAAACTGAAGCACAGTCATTAAAGCTTCAAATGTTTGCAGGAACATCTGCGTATTGGGCATGAGGTGTAGATGAGGCCTGGGAGACAACCAACAGGAGCAGGGCTAACTCAAGTAGCAAGACGGGAAGTCATTAATTATATGTTCAGCTGAACAAATCCATTTGGTGAATTGCAACCATAAAAGCAGTGTGATTATGAGCGTTAGGACTAGAGACTGCATTTCATCTTGTAACTCAGAAGGTGCTACTTGCCGCCCATATTCTGTAATCTCGTTTGTACCTTAGGAATACAGGCTGCTTTGTAATAAATGTCTGATGTAGACCTTAAAGCTCCAGAAAACAGTTGAAAGAAATTGTAGGAGAAAGTCGTCATGACCCATTATAAAGCAGTAATCTACAAAGCAAATCCAGACTTCTCAAATATATTAATAATTACATGATTGTTGCTAATGAAAAAAACTTCCTAGACATTAAAAATAGGTTTGTCACATAGATGTTTTAAAATTATGCCTTGGGGGTACTGTGCTTGCTGAAGACTCAGGTTCAATTCCCAGTACCACATTGAGTGGCTCACAACCACCGGTATCTCCAGCTCCAGAGGATTCAATATCTCTGGTCTTCTTGAGCACCTGTGCATATGTGTATATACCCCATACAGACACACATGTCAAATTAAAAATAATAAAAATAAATCATGAAAATAATTTAAACTGCCTAAGTTCTGAGGAATGATATATGCTCAGATAGCTGAAGGAGGATGGTAAATAATGGTCAGAGACTAGAGGCATCCATGAAAATACCCACAGCCTGTAATGGAAGACTGATGCAAAGGAAACACCAGCTCAATGTGATGGTAATTTTATAGCTCTATTTATCTTCTTTTTGACTTTTCTTGCTTGTTTTTCAAGGGTTTCTTTGTGCAACAGCCCTACCTATCCTGGAATTTGCTTTGAAGACATGGCTGGGCTTGAACTCACAGAGATCCACCTGCCAAGTGCTAGGATCAAAGGTGTGTGCCACAAAACCTGGGTAGCTCTATTTACTCTTCAGCGCACTAAAGAAAGCATGGCATTGCAGGGGAAGCCTGCTGAGGCCTTATGGAATCTCCACAGAGGTTCTAAGCAAGCAACAACTCCAGAACTGGGCAGACTCCATGGACAGTACTGTAGTGGGAAGGGTGACAGGTGGAATCGGAACAGCACAGCCTCGAACCCCATGACATTTTAATGTGTGTGTGTGTGTGTGCAGAAAACTGCAGCAGCAGAGGTTTTTGCAGGTATGCTGCAGTTGTTGAAACACTCTGAATACCCAGCACAGGGAATTATATTTGTCCTTCAAATTATTTTTGCAAATTACAGAAAAGTACCTTCCTATAATTTATAAGTATATGGAGAATTGAAAATAGTAGTAAAGCTGACATTTATTAAAATCCATTTAAAAGAGAAACAGGGAAGAGTCGTTTTATTTCTCTGAAGAACTCTATGGAGAGCAATCTGGTACTTGCCATCTGGTGTATCACCTCCTACTTGGAGGAGCATCCATTCCATAATCCTGCGAATTATCCTTCTTCCTACAGTGTTCACTGGCTCCCAACATTTTACACTTTGTCCCTTTGATAACAATATCATGAAATATCCCTGGGAGTTCTACTAGTGCTACATTCTATTTGCAGTTGCCAAACAGCATTGTTTCCTATGGGATAGTGTCACCCTTTTCCTTACAACCACCGTTCTCATTTACATTGAAGAACCATTCCCATAAGTGCAATCTACTTTCCATACATGGCCCAACTTCCTGCATTAATGAGCCAGTCTTCTCTGTGAGGAAACCTTCTTCATGTGAATCTACCCACATCCATTGTGCTCATCTTGGCAGAAGTTATAATGAAATGTTCACAGATACTCAGAAGGCAGTTGTGCTTTCTCTGTGGCAATTTGCAGCCAAACCTGTGAGATTATGATGTGACCCATGGTAAAGCCCCTCCCTCTCAACAAGGGAGAGGGCGCCATCCCTCACCTCAGGTTAATTCCTGATGAGCAACCTGAAGAGCAACATGTCAAAGCCTACTCCTCTGGGTGGCTGAGTCACTGCCTTACCCACAAGGCCTTCTTCACCGAGTCTAACTCACCCTTAATGCTCTGGATTTGTAAACCAGAGGAGTGATAGGAAAAATTATGAAAAACCTCAGGCATTTATTTTATTATAGGGTCAGAATATCCTGATCTTGGAACCTCCTTCCAAAAGTTTCTGTGCTTTTATGTGCATGGTCATTTGGCAGTACTCTGTGAAATGTCTCAGACACTGAATGTAAATCTAAAAGGGAATACTGATAAACAGTAGTTCCCGCTGCCTGTGGGGACTCATTCTGAGACCTCTAGTGGGTGTTTGAAATTATTGATAACACTTAACTACATAGCTAAGAGGCTTCTGCCTTGACATATCTACTTGTGATAAAGTTTAGTCAACAGGCAGAGGAAGACAATAATAGTAAAAATAAGAGCACAGTATACTGTAATAATAGTTTGTGACATATATATATGTATATATATATACATATATATGTATATATATACATATATACATATATATGTATATATATACATATATATATATATATATATATATATATATATCCTCTCTCAAAATATCTTACTGAGCCAGCCATGGTTATGCATGCCTTTAATCCTATCACGAGAGGCAGAGATGGGTAGGATCTTAGTTTACGGCCACACTTTCTCATAAAAACAAATGAACAAAACAAAACCTACAGTATCTTATCTTATTGTATTCTGCTCATGATTTTTGTATGAAATGAGATGATACCATACTTTTTAAGCATGCTGCAAAAGCAGAGTCCTGGAAAAGAGGGAACTGCCGTGACCACAGTTGAACTGGAATACTGGTGACCAATGCAAATACAGAGCTCTTAGGTGTCAGTGTTGTATCTAAACAACCTCATCAGTGCTCAGTCCAATGCTCTTACCTTTCATCTTGCATTTGCTTTTGACATTTCCCTTTTTATGCCATCATCTATTTAACTACACAGAACTACAGCTCCATTAAATAATGGAGTCCAGTAATTAACTACACACAACTATAGCTTGACTATATAATCAAGTCGAGTAATTAACCTCACAGAACTATAGCTCGATTAAATAATTGAGTCAAATAAAGCATAAACATTTCTCACAATTGCTCATTTTTAAGGTGCTTCCAGACATTGTTCCTAGGCAAAAATCCTTACTTATTTAAAAACTAAGAATGCATGTAAATGTCCTGAGACCAAAAATACCCACTGATGGGGGAGGGGGCGAGAATTTGGGGGAGGTTAGCCTCCTCCAGAAGTCAAGGCTTTGAACTTTGACCATCTGTTTTTTTTTTTTTTATCGAGCTACCTTCTGCTGCTAGTGTCCTCTGCATACATCCCAAGTATGTAGTGGGTTTGCTGTGAACACACAGTGGGAAAAAAACAAAACAAAACAAAAAAGAAACAAAACCCAGGTTTTAAAATCAAATGCAGCATTACTCATTTGAGTTACGAAATTCAAGTGCATCATTGAAACCTAAATGGGTTTGGTCTGGCATGGTATATGAAGACATAATAAATAAAATATATCCGTTTTACAATTTTATAAACTTTACCATAAAAATACTTACACATAAATGAAAACATTGTACACCATAATTAACCAGACCTAAAATCTATACAACTCACCAAATTTCTATATATAGTCATTCTATATGTAGTCATTCAGAATGGAAGCTGAGGAGCTCCACATTAAATTTTATACTTTTCAATATCGAATATATTTTATAGATGTATCTCCCACCAAAAACAACAACAACAACAAAATCAACAGTAGAATCTAGGGGAACAATTAACTGTATAATCTCTTTTGTAACTCATGCAATCACTGTCACTCAGCCTGTCTTGCTTTCTTTATGTTCTATTCTACTCACAGAGATACATGTGTTTACACACATGCACACAGATGCTATTGGCTAGATTCTGCATATGAGAGGGAACATATTTTTTTCTGAGATTTCATGATTTCCTTTAATATTACACATTCTTGCTTGATCTGTTTTCCTATAAAGTTTTAACATAATTTTTCTTTATAACTGTATAGTATTCATATATATATAAAACACACCACACACACACACACACACACACACACACACACACACACATATATATATATTTATCAACATTTAATTATCCATTCATCAGCTGATGGACAACTAGGTTGACCCAATCCTAAAGCAAATGAAGCATCAACAAACATGTGAGTGTGAAGAGCTCTATGGTGTGCACCTCTCTGGTTCAACTCTGCCCAGGACTGAAACATCAGGGTCACATGGTAGTTCTAGTTTAAGTTTTAAGAATTCCACAATGGCTGTATTAATCTGTACATTCAATAACAGTGAATAAGCATTTCTCTCCACACCTGTTCCAACATTCATTGTCAGATTTGTTGATGATGGGCATTCCGACTGGGGTAAGATAAGTTCAGAGCAATTTTAATATATATTTTCTCGATGGTTAAGGACACCGGACTCTTTAAAACAGTCACTGGCCGTTTGTATTTCTTTTCCTATTTAGTTCACTTGCCTACTTGTTAATGGCTAAATATAAGGCACAAATACCTATGTATAGTATAAAATGACAGTCATAAAAACCACAGTATGGCTGACAAGAATCGGGTTTCCCCTTCATTCATCAGGACTGGGTTCTTACCTTCAAAGTCCACATCTCCAACTAGTTTTGTCTTTCCTGTTGTAGGATCTTGGACGTAATTGATACCCACATCAATGACTGTTGCGCCTTCTCTGACCATATCAGCCGTAATCAACCTGGGAATACCTGTGAATGGAAGAGTTGTGAGACTCTTGAATTTTAAATTTTGTCCAGTACTTAGACTTTGCTCTGTATTTTAAGAGTATATAACTATATCCTCTACAAGAAAGAGGCTAACTTCGTTCCGATTCTTGATCATCAGGTAGAAGGACAAAAGACAATGAAGGAAATGCATGGGACTTTTGAAGAGCAACCATTCTGGAGCTGTCCTTTCTCCTCACAGATTGCTTATCTGACCTGTCCTTGGGAGCACCTGTTTGAGCAGCATCCTTTCATCTAACAGGGAGTCACAGGGATAAGGTAGGCTCCCACTGTTTCAGAGTAGAGTAAACGCTACTTGGGTGTTGGGAAGATGGAAATGGAAAGGGATGTGATAATCATAATGTGTACTCCCACTGTGTGGTAAGCAGTACCACAATGCCATCTCATGAGCTCCACACAGACATATCTATCACCCTTTCCTGTTTCTCTTGGTTCCCATGACTACATAGGATCTGAAAGGTATAAGCTATGGTAGCTGTCCTCTTTATTACCCCATTCTGGTTGAAAAGAGAGATCTATAGAAATAACATGCCACTCTCTGTGATCTGGAACTACTTTTAAATTTTGTTTCAAGTGTGGCACTACTGGCTAACACGCAATAACACTGCAGCTGTTTTTTATGATTGTCTATTGAGTGAGCTCTGAACACTGATTTAACATACTTTATTATTTAACACACTTTATTATTATGTCTCATGTGTGTTTTGACTGAGTCCAGCTGGATACATCTGACTTAGGCAGTTTTGTAACCCGGGTCAGGTAAATTCTGACTGAAGTCATCTGAAGACATGACTTGTACGTGTGTCTAAAGTGGCTCGCCCACGGCTGTAGTTGATACTGAGGGTTGGGTAGGACCACTGGAGCACTGTGTGTGATCTGATCTCTGGCTGCTGAATGCCAAGCATGCAGAAGTAGAAGGGGGATGCTGCAAATCCTTGGAGGCTGGAATCCTGAGATAAGCTCAGTTCTTTTACATTCTTTTAGTGAACAAGTAAGGGAGCCCATTCAGATTCAAGACCCCCTTTTAGGTGAATCAAAGAACCAAAGAACGTGTGACATTCTTCACTCTGCACCTATGCTCTTGTGGGTGTCATGGCTGGTAGGTGATTCATTCACATTCCCATGCCCCTTGCAGGTAGCTCCTTAATATAATGAATTTAATATGAGATTCTTTTTTTAAAACCTATCTGCTCTGTGATTAGAGGAGTTCTTTTAGCACCCCAACTGTCCAAGTGAGCATTCCAAATGGTCTAAATGTCACGTTGTGACATAAAGTTCTTGGTGTAGGTGAGGTGTTTTAGCCTGTAAAAAGGTCAGTGCTAATACAGATGTAGCTACCACAGATGTTCCTTAATTGCATAGGCACCAGCATTTGAGATATGTCTTCCTTACATCTCAAGCAGTGAAATGGACTCATCCTTTATCAATCCTAATGTAGCCACTGGCCAGACTTCTCTCAGCCTCTGAAGACAGTCATGAAATCATGTTTCTTCTTTGTACAGGAAAAGGAGATATACACTGGTTACAGCTGTAGAGGACTTCCTCAAATGACAACATTTGTGGAATAGTTATTAAAATCCAGCTATTATACTTTTAAGCCAATATTAAAATCTATATTTAAGTACTGTGATATCTCAGACAATATCAGACTGGCAATAGACAGAAACCACAAATATTAAAGTACAAGGAAATTTGAACTGCAATAATTTCAAGAAAAATTACAAAATGGAAAAATGCAATTTATGTCTTTTTTAGATAAAGATATTTATATGTCCACTGTAAACATTTTGAATAATATTAAAAGTTTAAGACAAAAATAAAAGTAAGAATTTTCCTACCATCAGAAGATAATAAGTATTAGAATTTTCACTGTTTCTTTTTAGAATTTCAAAATATTTATTTAATAGATATAAAATATGCCTGAAATTCATAAGCATATATATGTGTATACATATCACTTCGTCCTTAAATCTAAACTGTGATCCTTTCCTGTTTCATCAATTAATTGAAACTTAAAAAATCAAATCAAATAACTCAACAAATGAATCGGTATTATTACTGCATTGTTTCCAATATTTTGTATTAATAGGACATTAATAGTGATGGTTACTTATATTCAAAAAACCATGAATATATTTTGAAGCATCAAACTTGCTGAAAATTTCCACGGGACCTTTGATAACAACTCGAATAGATGGGGCTCTAATGAAAGTACCTACTGAAAGAGTTGTAACTAGTTAAATAGTACACCCTAACACCGCTGATAACTGTGCCTATTAACAATATCCACAGAAGCCCATGAAGTCCTTTGTCTGATGTATTCATCAGCACCTCCTTCACATTTTTTAATCAAGAGCTTGGAAGCATGTGCTGGCACTGTGATAATGATTTCCTCTCTTGCTTTCCTTTCCATCTTATTCTGCTCTGTGTGGTATCAGGGCTGGGCTGATCTTACACAGATCTTATGTACCTCCTTGCTCTTTGGAACCCTGCCTGTCACAACCTTGAGAACAGGCTCAAGCTGTCCTACTGAAGCACATGATTCCCTAGATGGGGGATGGGTGACTCCATCTGAAGCAGATCTAGACTGATGAGCTTCTAGCCAACTACTAGCTGGTGGCAGATGTTTGAGCCTCCCAGAAAAAGCAGATGATTGGGTCAAAGCCACCACAAACAGCTGAACTAGACTCTCAAAAACTGTAGAAGGTGTCACTTAAGCAGCTGAAATTTGGAACATTTGAGTATCAATAGCTGATTGGGATATATTTGAAAATGACACAAAATTGGATATACCAAGAAGGTTACCACTTTGGAATGATGGATTCCAAGCTCCAAAAAGAATGTGAAAGGAAAAGAATGTAAAATTTTCAACAGGTGCTGAACATAGTTAAAATTCACCAAGACTGAAGAAAAGCAGCAGTGCTCATATATAACACTGTAATATTTCCACTATATATTACAGAAGACTTCCCCCGTGAAGTGGTTTGCATCCAAAGCCTGGTCCAGAGTGGGCTCCTCTCAGAAAGCAGAGTGTACATATTTTCTGTTCAGAACCAAGACTTAGTGGAGCTGCCCAATACAACACAGTCCAGTGTGGCCAGGAGCAGCTCAGAGTCCTTACACATTTGATCTTGAATTAATTCTGGATTCTTGCACATTCAGAAACCATTTATGATTGCCCATGTTCTCACAGAAGAGAAGCTGAAGTTTGAAAAGGATGAGAGACTGAGTCTTGGAATTACACCAAGTGCTCAATTATTTAGCTCAACTCTCTGTTATCAGTCTACAATGGGATAAAAGGAGTTGGTGCTATAATGTAAACTATGTTCCTAAAAGGACTGCTTAATTTTCTTAGCCCTATTTTTATTGGAGGGTTTTCTTGATAAAGGAAGTAGTACACTGATTTATAATCTTACTTGTAAACTCTCTGTCTTGCCCTGAACCTCCAACATACAGCTCCCAGAGGTAAGAGTCACAGAACACTGCACATTAAGTACTCCTACAGGGGCAGCATGGCTGAGCACACTTGACCTGCTCCTCTCAGAAAATAAAGAACAGAAAAGCAAGCTAAAATTCAATCATCACCTTGCATTCTTTGTCAGAATCATATAAAAATTCTGAGTGCTTGGGAGAAAACACCAAGAAACCAAGACAAGAGTCTTGTAACCACAGTTTCTTCAAAACATGGAATTGTTCTTGGAAAGTGTTTTCATGCTCCTACTAGGTTTGGAAGATAGGAATGAGTTTACTTCATTGTTCATTACAACTGGCTATCATTATTTGTTTATATGCTTGTATGGGAAATCATATTTTTGGCACATATGCTTCTCTGCTCCGTGAGGCTTGGCCTTTTACTCACGTGACTCCTCTTAACCATCAGAGTAAATTTGTTTGTTGCAGGAGACTTTAGTCAGCCTCCCTAATTATCTCCATTGTACCAGGTCCCACTGCCCCAAAAGTGGTAAACAATTTTCAATATGCTAACCTGAATACGTGGTAGAATTACTCTCTATGATTCCAGACTTAGAAACTAAAGGAAGGCACAGAAAGGAAGATGATAGACCTGAACTCAAACATTTTAAGAATAATAAAATATGCCACAATGAAAACCATGTACTCTTTTTATTCTCCAACAGAAATGAAAGAATGAAAAGAATGAAATTGGGAAAGTTTCTTGTAGAAGTGCCCTAAGAGGGGCATGACCAGCCCAGCCCTATACCTTCCCATCTGTAATTCTCACAAAGTCCTAAGAGTGAGACATACTCAGATAAAGAGGCAGCATCTGAACAGTTAGACTTTATCTTCACCTCTCTTAGAATGGTGTCCATAGAGCTATGTGCAAGGATCCACGTGTCACCACAGTAAACAAACTTAGGGTAGGCTTCACTTTGGAGCTGCTCCTCAGTATGCAATATGGACTGTGGACAGGAGCTTTCCTGAGTCTGGAAGACTGGCTTGCCAAGGACCAGATGCTTCTGTCTATTCTCACTGCCTTTATGTGAGCAATAAATCTGCTTTGTTTATATTGAGTATGCTGTCTCCTCCAACTCATGCTTGTTTTACAAACATAAACTCCTCTTGTTTCCTAGCTGTCCCCATGGAACCCTGCACCCTGAAGGGCTACATAAATGCTGATCCTCTGTGTCACATTCGAACCTCTCTGTCCACCATGCCTTCTGAGTCTTCAGCTTCTGCGTTCGCTTTCCCTTTCTAATTTTTCAAGAAAAAAACATTCTTTCTTTTGCCAACTATTGCACTTCTGATCCTTTGTATATTTTCACTCAATCATTCTACTTAAGAAAAGACAGAAATTATAGAAATAAAATTTGTGTCATTGTTTAGATCATAAATATCCCCAAAGGTCCTTATGATGATGGCTTTGTTGCCAGCCTGTAGCACTACTGGTACAGGTCATAGAAAGATTAGGAGGAAGGGATAACAGAAGACAGTTAGGATTTTGGAGT